GCTCTGTTTGGTCGTGCGCCTTTCAATTGCCATGCATCATTACCGGTAACAGCTTTCTCTTGGTGTCTGTAAAAGCTGGCGAAACGTTTCTTGCTCTCTTGGAACGAAACACCGAAGTCCGTGCTTGGCCCGACCTTGTCGGTCAACATCTCCACCAACTGGCGGCAGCTCTGCAACTTTGACGGTGATTGTGGGAGATCGAACGCAAGGCAACATGCTTGCCACGCAACAGCCATGGTTTTTCCGAATACTTCCATGAATGCTTCCGGAGAGGCGGCGCCGTACGAAACCGAATTGGGGTGATAACAGGGAATCACGACCAAACATGCATTGTCATCGATCTTGCCATCTGGTTCACTGTAGTTTACAATGAGTGCAGAGCCCACTAAGCCGGCGAAGTCACCTTGACGCATCCCAAAATCATGTTGGAACCGCCCAAGTGCTGTACTAGTAACCTGCGAGTTTGTTAGTTATGATCTGAATCCAAGGGGAAGGAACTCGGCTTACTTCTTCTCCCCAAGTCACAGCCAGTATTGGGTTCACAATCTGAATGTATTGGCGCAACAGTGTTATTGCGGTAGGATAGTCCGTCCGAGACTTGAGGGGCCATTGGAACATGTCAACGAATGGCAGCATCTTGTCTTGATGCAACAAGTAGGCTTCTTTCGAGTTGATTGTGCCTGATGCCGTTTCTAGGCTGGCGAAGAGATTGATGAGCTTCTCCCAGTTTCGCCGTGTAAGGTTGTCACTCTCATAGAAAGAACTCGCGGATCGGAAAGTATCAAGGGTCGGGTCGTGTCCGATTGTGACCAATGGTGTATAGCCCTGCTTTTGCATGATAACAGGGATAGCCTGTTCATAAATGACATCTCGGTAGTGATCAGTGAAAGTGAACACACTTGTGCCTGTAGAGTGTGGGTTTGTGTTGGCGTACTCTTGGACCGAGTCGGCATAATCTCCAAGTGCTCGGAGGGCTTCTGGAGATAGCGCTCTGGTACCGGACCGTAGCCGATCCACGGTCCTCATTTGCAACTTGTCGTATGCATCCGCATCCTCGAGAGCAACCGACAACTCGACGTAAACGCCACCGGTTTGCACGTTGAGCAGTGAAGGGTGGCCCATCAATGCAATCAAGGACTGTTCCCTCAGGCTCACAAGCTCATGGCTAGCTTTGAAGGTCACTCGACCTCTCACAACTTCAAAAATCGAGATGCCTGCAAGTATTTCTGGATAGAGTAGTTTTGTTGTCAAGAAGATTTTCTTGAGCGGGCCTTGGACATCGGAACGCAATGCATCGAGGTGTCTTGCCCATGGCGACTTTGAGGAGACCTCACCGCAGTAACGCAGGAATATTGGTTGGTGATCTGGTTTCCTCTCCAGTAATCGCAGCCATGTCTTTGCCTTGGGTATGTATTCGCCTCTTCGCGCCAAGTCGCTTAGTACCCGAACTAGCTCCCGCTTTGTGAAGGCAAGAGATCTGATGTACAGAAGAGTGTGATCTTCTGGCGGGTTCGTGTCCTCCTTGGAACACAGCCGAAGTCCAAGAAGCTGCTGCAGTTCGGCATCATTGACGAAGGTGGGCTCTGCTAACAAAAATCTCCAATCGTCGATGTCTGACCCATTGAGAGGAAGACACCATGCAAGTGACAGAGGGTTCAGTGTTTCTGTTGAAATCTTGCTCTCCTTCAGCCGTTTTATGATCTCTTTGAACACGATATTTCTGACATCCTCATCAGAAGTAGGTCTGGGATCAGCGGGACTAGGCACAAAGCTGTAACCTTTCGTTGTTTGGCGCCTCCGAATTCTGGACTTGAGAATTGTAGTTTGTGTTGTCAAGATACTGGTCACATATCTGCCTGCGGAAGTCGGCGGGGCAGCTTGTGGAGCTTGAGCTGAAGGACTTGCTGTTGAAGTCATGGTGTCAATTGGAAGTGAAGGATGATTGCTGAGTTTTCAGCAGTGTCGTGCGGCGGATAAATACACAAAGGATATGCGCGAACGAATTTCAAGAACTCTTCCACGACTTTAGAGATGGTGGCAGAAGTTGTGTTGATGCAGTTGAGGGAGTTCCAATGCATGAAGTTCTTGACATCAATGAGGTGCTTGGAAACGATTGCCCGACGACGAGCACTCGATGTAGTGAGAGAGAGGAGAGGGAGAGAGAGAGAGGAGAGGGAGAGAGAGAGAGGCTGAATCAGAGAAGGGAGCGGAGGTGGTTAATCCGTGGCCGATTGCCTGCCAACGATTGGACCGAGGGTGGATCGAGATTTCGTGCCTGTTTGCCCTCAGGAAGGAGTGACTCGCGGAGCCAGGCTAAGCATCTTCGCAAGATGACCAACATGCTCGTCTCTGCAAAGCATCTGTCAGACCAATGCCTGAACTGATTGTAGCTGGCTGCGGTGATTCCTGGAATCGAATTTCTGACCTCGACGGGGACAGTCGCCAAATGAGTGGCTTTCCTTGCCTTTCCCTACCGTCCTACTGGCAGCTCGTTTTACCTACTGTGAGATTGAGGCACGGCACCTGAGGAATTTTTCGGAGGCTGGCCACATCGAAGGAAGTCCCTCTGCATGCAGCGTTATGATCCACGTTCATTTCGAGACTTCGAAAAAAAAAAAACCCTATGTGGCGCTCACTCGAACAGCCATTTGAACGGTCGCCGCCCATTCCGAAACATTGCTAGCGAATCTTTCAGCCTCGATCGCGACCTGATGACGGAAACTCAAGGAAGACTTGCCTATCTACAGCATTCGAACTGCTGCAGACCGTTTTTACCCACCCAGCTCAAACACGCGTTTCAGCCGTCAAAGCTTTGATGAACTCTGAGCAGGCCTCAAAAGAACATGACTCGTCGTCATTGAACAGCCAAACTCCGGAAGGTAAGTATTTTTACGCGGCCATGCAGGAGACGTTCCGTGAGCGACGCACAGCCACTATAAGCTGGACGTCGAGCTCGATATCGCTGCCTTGCAAGCTCGTGCTGGGGTATCTTGTTTTTCCAAGAAACGAAGTGTCGCAATCAAGGATGCGGAATTCCCGGCGACTCCACGAATGGTACAGTAATCTCTACCCAATCAGCTTTCAAACATCCATCGTCCCCAATAGAAAAGAAGAGAAGGGCCTTCGGCCTCGCTTGGCAAGCTAACTACTCTTTCGCTGGGTATGGATGAATAAGCACACTTCGGACAACACAAAAACCTGGGCAGGTGTCAAAGGCACAAAAAAGTTACGAATGTCTCTCCCTCGCTGTTTACTGTGTTAATCAATGATACAGATAGAAGTTGGATGATTAACTCACGGGAATCGACTATACCAACTGTCAGGTTTCGATCAACTTCGTCGTGCAGTAAACTTACACCCCGGTCTGAATTGTTCGGTTAGTAACTGTGCGATTTGAAGGTGACGGTGTGCTTGCCTCCCGCTAATATATTGTCAGTATAACCTCCCTTAATCGCCTGGAATAAGCAACATACCGGACTTGTAGCCTTCAACGAAGGATGGTTGACAAGCGGAAATCATGACCTAGAACAGTCAAGAAGATGCCATATTGACAGGCGGTGGTGAAGCATACCACTAGACCTGAAGACATATCAGCATCCCCGAAGGTGTAACACCAGAGGTGAGTATTTACCAAGGAAGACATGTGCTAGGTGATCCTAACACCTTGGTGATTGTTGATTCAAAATGTGTTTGGCTGCATAATAACCCTTCACTTTTTTGGATGCCCCGCGAGGCGAAGAGCCCCTCCTCAGGCGAAGACGTCCCACTCGTCCGGCGGCTCCAACTCCGAAATCTTCACTTTGGGGTGACGCCTTGGCACACAAAGATCGGCTTCAGACTCTAAGCGTCCTTGGTCAATGCACTGCAGAGCAGTCTGCTGGCCATGTTTCGATCTCAATGACTCAAATATCGTGGCGTGTGAGAGACTCTCACACGGGAAGTGGTAGGCTGGAGCGCCCCTTTCCGTTGGAATCACAAAGTTCTTCTGAGTCCTATACCGGTTCGAGCAACCCTCACGCGAGGAAAAAATTATCTCCTCATGCGAGAATGCAGAATAGACTCTGGGTCAATCTTCTGAAGTACTACGGAACGTGGCGGTCTTTGTTCATACAGCCGCCGTCAAGTAAGGTATGAAGAACGACGAGTGCCCGCCATTGCCAACCGACGTCAGGATAAGCACAAACAATGTCTCAAGACGACCCAGACATTTCTGACATCTTGACACTATCCAACTGAATTGCTCTCTCTTGGAAGTCTGGGATTTGGGCGCAACGAAGCAGGAATTGCTTGTTGGCTTGGAGGGTCCTAGCAATTCGGTCTGGGATATTGTCGCAACACGATACAGTGGTGACCTTTTGTCCCTGGTGCACTTGCGGCACAAATCGATGGAGAAGCTGGACATGACATCGATCTTTTCGGAACATGTCAATATCAGTGGCGAAGGTCTGTGACCCGGCGGTCTCGGGATTTTCTTATACCTCAGCATCACGAGTCGACTGCTCATGTCATACCTCGTGCGGATACACTAATCTCTCAACAGGAACGTTTGAACGGGCATTGCCACAGGAACGAGTGCCGAAGCTACTGATTGGGCACTGATAGCCCAATGGACAAGTCTTGAATCACTGGCTCGGTGATGTCTGGTTACAAGATAAAAGGATTCCGGACTGGGGTCGCTTGAGTGGTGCGATATGGTGCTTGAAGCAATTGCCATCGAGGCCAAGTCATGACCCTCCATGTCCCCCACGATAAGTATTTCACAACTTCTATCCACCAATCCTACTTCACACGTGATAGCGAAGCGACTGGCAGATGCAAGGCCTTGGGTCACTCAGCTCACCAAACAGAATGCTGACTCACCACCTAAAAAGCGCAACCTGCTATTTTCCCAATACTCACGTTCTTGAAAATACCTCGTTATCAATTGCAAAATCACAATCTTTCCCAACATTCAAAAGCCCCTTCTTCGCAGCAGAAGGTATACCTTCTGCACTTCAATATCTGCGATAGTTTAGTGGTAGAATACCTGTCGGTCTCACAGGTGGCGGAGGTTCAATTCCTTCTCGCAGAGTCTATCATTTTGCCTCTTTGAAGCCCTCCAGCTTCAACATTATGTCCCCTTTTTTGCATTTCTTTTTGCTGTTCTGATGGGTAAAAATTGTGCGTCTTGGACGTAATTTACTAAGCAAGTTCTCTTGCCTGTCAGCTTATGTGCAAGGCTACCACCCCGAGACTTCGTCTTCACCCTCAAGCGTCTCCCTTTGCAATTTCCTAGCGATGCCATCAGCCTCCTCCCATACCCTGATCAGATTTCCTCCTGCTACCTTGGCAGCATTCCGATCGCTGACGCCCAGTCTCAACAATTCTGCAATCAGGTCAGGATACTTGTCGACCCCGTCCAGTCCCTTTGGTGTCAATTCTCCCATCCCATCAAAGTCGCTCCCCAACCCGACGTAATCGTACCCAATCTTCTCCCCAACGTACATGACGTGTCTGGCCACTTGATGCAATGTATTGTTGTTCGCATAGAACTCCGGCAACACCGTTTCATTTGCAGGCGGCAAGCAGGAAATGAACCCCGGACTGAAGTTGATCATCACCAGGCTTCGTGTTGCTTTGACCAGATCAAGGATATCATCGTGCACGTTCCTTGGATGTGGACAGAGCGCGAATGCCGACGAATGTGAGTATATCACTGGCGCCGCGGAGGTCTTGTTGCTCAGCACGGCCTTCTGTGTCCAGTAAGACGTATGCGATATATCGATGAGCATTCCCAATCTGTTCATTTCGCGAATGACCTCTCGTCCAGCGGATGTGAGTCCACCACGATGGTAAGGAGCCACAGTCGTCTCGTTCCACGTGGAGATCAACGCCGCATCAGCGAAAGCGTTGTGGCAATTCCAGGTAAGTGTCACCGCTCGGACACCCAGTGCGTAGTACAAGCGCAGCGTCGACAGCGGAGCAGATTGTGGGATCTGGTGCAATCCTTCCAAACTGATCGGCGAGATCAGACTCTTCGAAGCGTGGAAGTTCGCCAGTTGCCCTGAAAGTGGTGTATCGGCGGAAGTGAAATTTCCAGCATACTCGGCTTGGAGTCGCCTGATCAAGTCTATTTGCGAGAGGGTATGCACCACGGCTGTGGAATACTCCTTGTCTGAGAAATCGACACCCGCATGTTCTGGGCAGGCCACGAATGCGCTCCAAAACGCGCCTCCCGCCTTCCCCTTACGGAGTCGAGGCAGATCCACGTTCTCAGCCAGGCCTCCATTTTCAAACTTGTCCTTAAATTCCTTCGTATGCAACTTGTTCTTGTAATGGCCACGTATGAAGATGGCAAGGTCGTTGTGGCCGTCTATCAGCGGCGTGTGGTCGAGGATGGCAGAGACACGTTGTTCTATGCTCTGAGGTCTCTTGGGTAGAGGTATGGGTTCTTTGTCTGTTATCTGTGGACTCAAGAAAGATATCACAAATGCCAGAAAGACGACGATGGAGAAGAACCCGATGATCGTGCTCAGAGCTGATTTCGTGGATTCTGCCGGAGAAGATTCCAATTCATCCTCGTCATTTTCGTTCCGCTGATAGGATCGAGACTGAAAGACCTCTTCCCTCTGCTTTGGCTCGGGCGAGGCTTGTATGCCTTGATATCCTATATTGCGGGAGAATCCATCGCCGATTATTTCAGGAGCAGGATCGTTGCGGGGGAGAAGAGGATCGACTTCTGACTTGTAAGACATCGTTGTCTATGCCTGGCAGTGAACTATGGTCATAGCCAACAGATCCAAATGGCTAGCATTACGCGGGTATTTAACAGCCCACAGGGACTCTGCGATGAATTTGATCATCTGCGCGCCGCTCAGGATATCGACGGACGAACTCCGCATCAAGCTCGTCACCAGGGGGGCAGATAACGATACCGGCATCGCAATAAAGATAGTCCGGTGAAGCCAACGACAGCCGGGTCCCGGGAGTGAAGCCACTGGAAAGACAATGCTTCCATCATACCTATTGCTCTACTGTATTGATCTGTCTCAGCTTGGAAATATCAAACAGTCTATAGTCATACACTGGCGTCTGCCAATCGTCGTGCAACAAGCCATAAGACTCGACATCATTAGTACCCGGCTTGCGTGGATTTATTGCCCCTGGCTCGTTAGTCAAGTTTCAGCAGAATCTGGTACATGTGTAAGTACTCACAATACGCAAAGTCGGCATCAGACTCCTTCAGATATTTCACCATGTTCCTCCAATACCGGTAATCACGCCGGCTTGGTGAACTCGGAGCTCCTATCTCACCAACCCACACTGGAGCGAGGCCACTCTTCCGCAAATACTCCCAGTTCTTGTCCATATCATCAGCAAAGGATTTATACCCTCGATACCAATATGGGGCCAAAGAGCCCCATCCTGACCACCCGTATACGTGGGAAGAATAGACCACCTTGTTCTGACGGGTTAAGCGAACTGATCGGTCCTTGGCTCCCCTGAGATCATTGGCAGATTGTACCCCTTCCACGATCATTAACCATTCTGGCTGGAGACGATGTAGTCTGTCTGATGCATGTTCCGCAGCAGTCGCCCACGAATTCCACATCCATCTCCCAGCAACGCCACGAACCTCGTTCCGCAGATCCACACCAACCACAAGCTGATCGTCGACATGCGGCTCCATCACAGTCAGGAGATCTTGAATCCAGTCCTCTTCGGTCTGTCGCAGAGGACAGAAAAGACCGATATCGTTGTTCTTCCATCCCATGTCGAAGGGCCACCCATCACAGCACCACCTTGCTTTCGTAATGTGATTGTTGATGATGAGCGCCAACCCAGCTGCAGTCAAAGCCCGCACAACGGCCGCATATGTCGCCAGTCCTCGCAGGCCAACAAGATCTTGGTTCGCGGCCAGATGCTTTCCATCGATGACCGGGTCCCTCCGAACGAGTTCATCCGCATACGGTAGGCGGACACTATTGAATCCCAGCTCTCGAATGACACGAGCAATATCAGCTCGGTGTTGCACCTCCAGACCACCAGGTACCATGAGGACATCGCTCGCGCCGTACCAATTCACAGAGATAAGTTTGGTACGCTTCCCATTTCGATCGACGATATCGCGACCTCGAGTGCGCAGTGGCGGATCGAACAGCCGGACGGCGGCATCATATGGAACGGTGACGTTGCCCTTGATCAGCTCGGAATTCGGATACAGCAATAGATTCGCTGGCGTGCTGTCCCGATACCAGAGTATCCGCACACTGAGCCACAGTCCGACAATGGTAAGACCGGCCAGGATGAATGGTCTTCTAACGATGTTCCATAGCTTGAGCCCGCGTCCGTCTCTTCTTGTCAGTAGGGTATAGTTGCGCCCAGGATGCGAAACCCACCAAACCATTTTCGATGGCAGTAAAGTCGTTTATGGATGCTCCTTGTCTGGCGTATTGGGCGGACTTGCAGAAAGGCTGGTGGACCGCAGCACATCGATGGTCCAATTCGGCGGACGGCACCAGTGAGCCGCGGTGTTCCGGTCGTTTGACCGCCATCATTGGTTACCAGTAAACGGATGCTGACCTTTGCATTGCCAAAAGAAAAGAGGACAAACCCATTTTATTACGTTCTGGCTGAAGTGCTCACTCTTTCATCCTCGACCCAACACACTTACAATGACTCCAGACTCAAAAAGCATGCGCACACTTCGATCCAACAGGTCGTTGTTAGTCGACCTCGTGCAGAAGCTGTCTTTGAGTCAGGAGTACTACCTCATGATGCACGTTTACTGCCAACGACGAGTTGGTTGGTGGATGTGACCTGGACACCAAATGTTGGTCAAACTCGAACTCTCATACACCATGGCTGCTACGACAAGCCACGCGCATGAGCGTTTGGTACAGAAACAACGATGGGGGTTCCCACTCTCGGCTTTCAGATCAGCTGGTCACGTCGTCGCCTAGGCCAACAGGGCCCAGAGAAGCGAAGAGATGGTGGAACGCTGCTGTGCACTTGGTTGCGGCGGGCTCCAGGTGAGCAGCCACCCCGAGAGTCATGGACTTTCACCCCCAAGGATACATCGTGTTGCAGGTAGGTGGGATGAAGTGAATGTCGAAAGGGAATCCGCGACCCGGGTGTCTCGGAGTCTGGAATGTCCAACTGTCTCGAACCACCAAATTGTCCGCTTGAGGAATGTGTCTACGAATCAATTCTTAACGACCACACCACACTCATTGCATCCATCCACAAACCTCGCAGGTTGCCCGCGGGCCCTGTGTCATTCATTTGTTTCTTTCTTCCCCAAGTTCAACGCGCATGCCATGCTCAACGGAGAGCGCATCTCCACAAGATAAGATGGGCTTTGTCAGATGGTTCCTGCGATGCACCCCCGGCTTGTCAGTCTTTGGGCTTCTCATCTTGCTTGAGTCCGCACTCCGAATCGTACAAACGGAATGGCTCAGCTTCGTAGGTCCCTCCCCTTATCAGAACAGGTGTACCACATCCGGCTTAGTCTGGGCGGTCGCCAACGGATCAACGGCCTTGTCTGGTGCCGGCAATCCACCACCTGCTGACACATCGGCAGTTCTCTCCGCCGTTCCTCAATCATATCGCGACTCCTGCCGTGGCGGAGACTCTTTTCATATCCTACTCGGTGTTTCTTCATATCCTCGCCGTGCTGTTCCCTCTACGACTATGCGCCTCGGCGTACGCAGCTACTAAAGGAATCAGAGCCCTTCATGGCCAATCTAAGAACGTTTCGAACGATGATCACTTGGAGCTGGATCTTTATCAGAATGCGCTTAAGGAACCGAGCTCTGTGACAATGGCGATCGTGTTGCCCAGCTACAAGGAGGAAACCGAGATGCTTGAAAGCTCCCTGAGAGTACTCGCGAGTCATAAACTTGCGCGGACTTCATACCATGTAGGAGATCTCCTATACAATGCGAAATGGTGCTAAGTAGCGGACAGATTTTTTTGGCTATGGAGGAACGAGATCCGAACGCAACCACGGTAGCACAGATCCTCATGCAACTGTTCACCGGCAAATTTCGAGAAATGCAATGGACGGTCCATCCCGCAGATCTGCCTGGC